TGCTATGCTATGATATGCTATGCTGCGCTATGCTATGCTATGCTATGCTAAGCTATGTTATGTAATGCTGCGATGTGCTATGCTAAGCTATGATATGATATGCTATATTATGCTATGCTAAGCTGCGCTATGATATGCCATGTTATGCTATGTTATGCTATGCTATGCAATGCGATGCCATGCTATGCTATGCTATGCTGCGCTATGTTATGCTATGCTATGCTATGCCATGCTATGGTTGGCTATGTTATGCTATGCTATGCTGTGCTATGCTAATGCAGCGCTGCGCTATGCTAAGCTAAGCTAAGCTAAGCTAACCCTCTAGGCAGAGCCTAGGTAGGGAATTACACCCATGCAGAGCCTCCGGACTTGAGCCGAAATGGTTACGGAAGGCACTGCTTGCGGGGGCTCCGGTCCGGCCATCGAGGCTAGCTCGGCATCTGTCGCAAATTGCTTTTGCTTTGCCTTTTTTGCTTCGCTTTTGCTTTTGCTTTGCTTTGCTTTGCGTTGCTTGTGCCTTGCTCTGCTGTCGCTGCTGTTGCTTTGCCTTTGCTTTGCTGCTATGCTATGCTATGCTCTGCTAAGCTATGCTATGCTATGCTGCGCTGTGCTATGCTGTGCTGTGCTGTGCTGCGCTATGCTATGCTATGCTATGCTATGCTGCGCTATGCTATGCTATGGTGGGCGATGCTATGATATGCTATGCTGCGCTATGTTATGTTACGCTATGCTATGCTATGCTGTGCTCTGCTATGCTGAAGCTCAGCGAAGCTAAGATGAAGGTAAGCTAAGCTAAGATAAACCTGAGCTAAGATGAAGCTACGCTAAGCTAAGATGAAATAAGCTAAGCTATGATGAGATAAGCAACGCTAAGCTAAGGGGACGTAACTGGGGGAACCGCGGGGCGGATCCTGGGGGAACCGCCCGGGGCGATTTACACTGCCCGGCCCCTTTAAGATAGAGAGTAAGAACCCTTCTAGGCAGAGCCTAGGTAAGGAATAATGATAATAACGTTTTGCATTATCGGATATTATTATCCTTCTCCTCCTCCTCCTCCTCCTCCGCCCCCTCCTCCTCCTACTCTTTCCTCCTCCTCATTATGTTCCTGCTCCTCCTCCTTCTCGTCCTCCTCGTCCACATCCTCCTCTTCTTCTTAGATGTCTTATTATCCGTATTACTAGTACTGTTATTAGATCATTCGCATTGTCATTATCAATCTTAGTCGTTTTCTTACAACTCTTGTGCTTCTTGTAGATATTAATCATATGTTTAGTCGGCCTAGCTGTCCGAAATTGATTACTCTTTTCTTACTAGTCATAATCGTATTATGGGGAGTCTGATGATTATCCTTCTCATACTCAATCTCCTCCTGTTCCTTCTCCTCGTCCTCCTCGTCCTCCTGGTCCTTCTCGTCCTCCTCCTCCTCCTCCTGCTCCTGCTCCTGCTCCTCCTCCTCCTCCTCCTTCTCCTCCTCCTCCTCCCACTCGTCCTCATCGTCCTCTTCCTCCTGCTCATCGCCCTCCTCCTCCTCCTCCTCCTCCTCGTGCTCCTGCTCCTCCTCCTCCTCCTGCTGGTAATCCTCCTCCTCATCCTCCTCCTCCTACTCCTCGTTCTCCTCCTTCTCCTCCTCCTCCTGCTCCTCCTCCTCCTGCTCCTCTTCCCCCTCTATGCTTCGTATGATTATTTTCTCCGTATGATTTGCAATAGTATTCTTACTATTGATATTATTCGCATTCGTATGCCTATTCGTATTCTTCTTCTGGTTCGCAGTATTAGTCTTATGATGCTTCTTGTCATTATGATTAGTAGTATCAGTAGTATGCTTATTGTTAGTGTGATTAATGGTATCGTAGTTGTTCTTACTATTCTCCTCCTCCTCCTCCTCGTCCTCCTCCTCGTCCTCCACGTCCTCCTCGTCCTCCTACTCCTCCTCGTCCTCCTCGTGCTCCTTCCCCCTCATCCTCCTCCTCCTCCTCCTCGTCCTCCCCCTTCTTGGGCTCCTAAACAATGTGTTTCGTTGTCGTGTTGTTTTCGTGTTCCCTCGTTGTGCCTTAGATTCGCCTTCTTGCCGCCCCCCAAAAGAACGACCTCGAAACGAAAACGGCCCACGAAGTCGTCAAATAAAACACCGTTCGGGTCCACCTCTGGAGCACCTCTGGACAAGCGCGTTCCTCTTACTCGCAGAGCAGTTGCTCGCAAATTGGCCTGGATCCAGTGCACCGAGGCAGACAAGCTCCACTGCATCGAACATCATATGTTTTGGGGGCGTTTGCGAGTACACGTCATTCATTTCTAATCGTGCTCAGTTCTTATTGTGCTCGTTTCTAATTGTTCCTGACCCCCTGGTGGTCAGGAAGAGGCCCAGGATAAACGAAAGGATCTTGGCCCCCCCGAACATCAAAGAACTTCCAATGGATTAGAAATCCACAACGTGTATGCACTTTGAGAGCAGCGGAACACGCTCGGTGATCCTCGCAGACGCCCTCCAGCGAGACCGCCA